TGTACATATTACATATGTATGTACATATTACATATGACATACATATATATACGTATGTACATATCTACATATGTATGTACATATTACTTATGTATGTACATATCTACATATGTATGTACATATCTACATATGTATGTACATATTTACATATGTATGTACATATTTACATATGTACATATCTACATATGTATGTACATATCTACATATGTATGTACATATCTACATATGTATGTACATATCTACATATGTACATATCTACATATGTATGTATGTACATATGTATGTACATATGTATGTACTACATATGTATGTACATATCTACATATGTATGTACATGTACATATTTACATATGTATGTACATATTTACATATGTATGTACATATTTACATATGTATGTACATATTTACATATGTATGTACATATTTACATATGTACATATGTACATATTTACATATGTACATATTACATACATGTACATATTTACATATGTATGTACATATTTACATATGTATGTACCATATGTATGTACGTATTTACATATGTATGTACATATTTACATATGTATGTACATATTTACATATGTATGTACATATTCACATATGTCATATGTATGTACATATTCACATATGTATGTACATATTCACATATGTATGTACACATATGTATGTACATATTCACATATGTGTACAATATTCACATATGTACATATTCACATATGTACATATTCACATATGTACATATTCACATATGTACATATTCACATATGTATGTACATATTCACATATGTATGTACATATTCACATATGTATGTACATATTCACATATGTATGTACATATTCACATATGTATGTACATATTCACATATGTATGTACATATGTATGTACACATATGTATGTACATGTACATATATCATATTATGTATGTACACATATATCATATTCACATATGTATGTACATATTCACATATGTATGTACATATTCACATATGTATGTACATATTCACATATGTATGTACATATTCACATATGTATGTGCATATTCACATATGTATGTACATATTCACATATGTATGTACATATTTACATATGTATGTACATATTTACATATGTATGTACATATTCACATATGTATGTACATATTTACATATGTATGTACATATTTACATATGTACATATTTACATATGTATGACATATTCACATATGTATTACATATATGTATGTACATATTACATATGTATTACATATTCACATGTACATACATATGTATGTACATATTTACATATGTATGTACATTATGTACATATTTACATATGTATGTACATATGTATGTACATATTTACATATGTATGTACATATTTATGTACATATTTACATATGTATGTACATATTTACATATGTATGTACATATTTACATATGTATGTACATATTTACATATGTATGTACATATTTACATATGTATGTACATATTTACATATGTATGTACATATTTACATATGTATGTACATATTTACATATGTATGTACATATTTACATATGTATGTACATATTTACATATGTATGTACATATTTACATATGTATGTTATTTACATATGTATGTACATATTTACATATGTATGTACATATTTTACATATGTATGTACATATTTACATATGTATGCACATATTTACATATGTATGCACATATTTTACATATGTATGTACATATTTACATATGTATGCACATATTTACATATGTATGTACATATTTACATATGTATGCACATATTTACATATATTACATATTTACATATGTATGCACATATTACATATGTATGCACATATTTACATATGTATGCACATATTACATATGTATGCACATATTTACATATTATGTACATATTTACATATGTATGCACATATTTACATATGTACATATTTACATATGTATGCACATATTACATATGTTCATATTTACATGTATGCACATATTTACATATGTATGCACATATGTATGCACATATTTACATATGTACACATATTTACATATGCACATATGTATGCACATATTTACATATGTATGCACATATTTACATATGTATGCACATATTTACATATGTATCACATATTTATGTATGCACATATTACATATGTATGCACATATTTACATATGTATGCACATATTTACATATGTATGCACATATTTACATATGTATGCACATATTTACATATGTATGCATATTTACATATGTATGCACATATTTACATATTGCACATATGCAATATTTACATATTATGCCATATTTACATATGTATGCACATATTTATGTACACATATTTACATATGTATGCATATTTTACATATGTATGCACATATTTACTATGTATGCACATATTTACATATGTACATATTACATATGTATGTACACATATGTATGTACATATGTATGCACATATTTACATATGTAACATATGTATGTACATATGTATGCACATATTTACATATGTATGCACATATGTATGTACATATTTACATATGTATGTACATATTTACATATGTATGTACATATTTACATATGTATGTACATATTTACATATGTATGTACATATTTACATGTATGTATTTACATATGTACATGTACATATTTACATATGTATGTACATATTTCATATGTATGTACATATTTTCATATTCATGTATGTACATATTTTCATATGTATGTACATATTTACATATGTACAATTTACATATGTATGTACATATTTCAATGTATGTACATATTTACAAATGTATGTACATATTCACATATTACATGTGAATATATAAATGTATATATACATATATGAATTAATATCCTCATCGATGTGGACTCGAACCCTCACTGTTTCAAGCAGGTAATTGCCCATGGGGAGTGTGTGTAAAACTTCACTATCCTTCCTCACGTATGATGAGTAAGTAGGTAATATCTATGGAAGATAGGTAGCTCCTAGTTCCACTCTTTTTAGTGGGTCACAAAGCCCAGTGGTAGAGAATTCGCCTTGCAATTACTTGCAACAGTGAGGGTTCGAGTCCCCATCGGTGAGGTTATTCACTCATCATATCAATGCGGTAGTGCATTATTCCAGCTTTCAATATATACATATATATGAATATACATATCTATATATATATGAAAATATATATTTATATATATGAAAATATATATCTATATATATGAAAATATATATCTATATATATGAAAATAAATATATTTATATAATATCAATATATATTTATATAAATATTAAAATATACATTTATATATATATGAATATATATGTGCACATATATAATCAGTGTACACATATTTATAAGTATAATCAATATAAATACACACATATATATGTATGTTTTTGTGTGTATCTGTATCTACGTGCATACACGTGTATATGTATACATATATATGAATGTATATATAATATTTATGTATTTATACATATATATATTCATGTGTTTAAATGTTCCAAAATTGAAAGGAATAACCCGCTGCCTGAGAAAATTCATCTATGCCCGTCATCTCCGGGAAACAGGGGTACGCTATGAGGACCCACATCAACTTACCGAAGACCCTCGCTTCGCAGGAGGAACGTGGGGAGATGGTTAGCGGGGTATAAAAAAGATTTACATAACCGTTCAAGCATCACACTTTCTCCGTCTCAAGCACAAACATCACAACTTTGCCCAAGCATCCGATATGGCACCGATTTCAAAATCAAAGATGAACGAACAAGTCCAGAAGGAACAGGAGAAGCGTGGTCGACCCAAAGGCTCCAAAAACAAGTCTTTGGCGATGGCTTCAAAATCAAAGAACATTGGAGAAGCACAGAAGAAGCGTGGTCGGCCCAAAGGTGCCAAAGACAAGACAACCGACACAGCGTCCAAAATCGCTAAGCCTAAGAAAATTGGCAAGACAAAGGCTGTCGAAAAGCGCGGTCGACCCAGAACCAAGACGGACGCAGAATATCCCGTGAAATTCGTTGACCTTGTCCTCATGGCCTTCAAGGCTTTAAACAACCGTAAGGGATCGTCTCTTCAGGCAGTTAAGAAATACCTTAAGGAAAATGAAGGAATTGATTCACAGAAGAAGGCCATCTACATTAACAAGTCTGTACGAAAACTGACTGAAGATGGAACTCTACGTCATCGTGCAGGAATTGGGGCCAGAGGGACTTTCAGACTGGTTTCAGCATAGTTGAGCCCTTTGAATTGAGAATAAGTATTTAAGTTTGGATGTATTTTTATTGAAATAAAATACTATATATTTCAAGTTCTCTTTATATGCCTTCAAACATTTCATTACGGATTATTGTGACCTTTTGTCAATATATCAAATAATATATAAATATATGCATTCCTCATTGTGGTATGAATGTGCTTACATGCATTAAGCACAAACACATACATATACAAACATACCCATACATACATATATACACAAATATATATACACGTACATACATATATGTGTATAAGTATGTGTTTCTGCTGTATGTATATATACCATTTCATTTTTTTAAATAAAATTAAATACCATATTTCAAGTCATCTTTTATACGCATACAATTTTTTAAGCATTAATATAACCTTGTGACAATGTGTCCACGAATTATATATATATATATATATATATATATATATATATATATATATATATGTTCAATATGTATATACATGTATATGCAATATATATAGATTAAGCACAAACAGGTACTTTTACACACACACAAATGTATACATAGATATGTGTGTATACATACATGTCTGTACATATGAATATATATACATATGTACATATGAATATATACATTTAGAATAAGTTTTTAAGTTTGGACTTTTTATAATGAAATAAAATCCTATATTTCAAGTCCTCTTTTATATTAATTCAAACCTTTTTTTAAGGATTACTAAAACCCTGTGACAATATGCCCACGAATAATATATATAGGTTATAAAATCATGATACCAATGCGGTCAGTGCATTCTTCCTTCTTCCATATATATGTATATAGATTCAATTTGTATATACATGAAAATATATACATGAAGCACAAACAGGTACTTATATACAAAGACCCACAAATGTATATATTCATATGCATGTACACATATATGTATGTACACATATATGTATGTACACATATATGTATGTACACATATATGTACACATATATGTATGTACACAATATATGTACACATATATGTATGTACACATATATGTACACATATATGTACACATATATTATGTACACATATATGTATGTACACATATATGTATGTACACATATATGTATGTACACATATATGTATGTACACATATATGTATGTACACATATATGTATGTACACAACACATATATGTATGTACACATATATGTATGTACACATATATATGTACACATATATATGTACACATATGTATGTACATATTTACATATATATGTATGTACACATATATATGTACACATATGTATGTACATATTTACATATATATATGTACACATATATATGTACACATATGTATGTACATATTTACATATATATGTACACATATATATGTACACATATGTATGTACATATTTACATATATATGTACACATATATATGTACACATATGTATGTACATATTTACATATATATGTACACATATATATGTACACATATGTATGTACATATTTACATATATACGTATGTACATGTCAATATGTAAATGTATATATACATATGCAAATTAATAACCTCAACGATGGGGACTCGAACCGTCACTGTTTCAAGCAGGTAATTGCCAATGGGGAGTGTGTGTAAAACTTCACTATCCTTCCTCACGTATGATGAGTAAGTAGGTAATATCTATGGAAGATAGGCAGCTCCTAGTTCCACTCTTTTTAGTGGGTCACAAAGCCCAGTGGTAGAGAATTCGCCTTGCAATTACTTGCAACAGTGAGGGTTCGAGTCCCCATCGGTGAGGTTATTCACTCATCATATCAATGCGGTAGTGCATCATTCCATCTTTCAATATATATATATATATATATATATATATATATATATATGAATATACATATTCATATATATATATATGAAAAAATATATATATAAATATTAATATGTACATTTATATATATATGGATATATATATATATATATATATATATATATATATATACATATATCTATCTATATCTATCTATCTATATATATATGAATATATATGTGCACATATATAATCAATGTACATATATTTATAAGTATAATCAATATAAATATACACACACATATATATGTATGTTTTTGTGTGTATCTGTATCTGCGTGCATACACGTGTATATGTATACATATATATGAATGTATATATACATATATGTTCATGTGTTTAAATGTTCCAAAATTGAAAGGAATAATCCTCTGCTGAGAAAATCCATCTATGCCAGTCTTTCTCCGGGAAACAGGGGTACGCTATGAGGACCCACATCAACTTACCGAAGACCCTCGCTTCGCAGGAGGAACGTGGGAGATGGTTAGCGGGGTATGAAAAAGATTTACATAACCGTTCAAGCATCACACCTCCATCTCAAGCACAAACATCCGATATGGCACCGATTTCAAAATCAAAGACGAACGAACAAGTACAGAAAGAACAGAAGAAGCGTGGTCGACCCAAAGGTTCTAAAAACAAGTCTTTGGCGATGGCTTCAAAATCAAAGAACATTGGAGAAGCACAGAAGAACCGTGGTCGACCCAAAGGTTCCAAAAACAAGTCTTTGGCGATGGCTTCAAAATCAAAGAACATTGGAGAAGCACAGAAGAAGCGTGGTCGGCCCAAAGGTGCCAAAAACAAGACAACCGACACATCGTCCAAAATCGCTAAGCCTAAGAAAATTGGCAAGACAAAGGCTGTCGAAAAGCGCGGTCGACCCAGAACCAAGACGGACGCAGAATATCCCGTGAAATTCGTTGACCTTGTCCTCAGGGCCTTCAAGGCTTTAAACAACCGTAAGGGATCGTCTCTTCAGGCAGTTAAGAAATACCTTAAGGAAAATGAAGGAATTGATTCACAGAAGAAGGCCATCTACATTAACAAGAGTGTACGAAAACTGACTGAAGATGGAACTCTACGTCATCGTGCAGGAATTGGGGCCAGAGGGACTTTCAAACTGGTTTCAGCATAGTTGAGCCCTTTGAATTGAGAATAAGTGTTTAAATTTGGATTTTTTAAATGAAATAAAATACTATATTTCAAGTTCTCTTTTAAAAGCATGACCTATTGTCAATATGTCAAATAATATATAAATATATGTATTCCTCATAGTGGTATGAATGTACTTACATGCACTAAGCACAAACACACACATACATACATATACATACAAATATATATATACGTACATACATATATATGTGTGAAAGTATGTATTTGCATATAAAAATATATGTACAGTACATGCATACAACTTGGTGCATATAATATATATATGCATGTGCGT